GCGCCCAAGCCTGCCGGCCTTGCAACAACAAGCAGCCGTGGGGGGGGTGGGGGTGTTGCAGGCAAGGAGAGCCCTGACTGACTCAGCCCTTGCCCTTCTTGACACAGAAAACCTGACTCACGGAAGGGCGATGCCCAGCCACCTCCTGGGTGAAACTGGCACCGCCCAGGCAGCGGCTTCGAGAGACACGTCCTGCACTGTTCAGGGGTAACCCTGGCACTTCCTTGCCAGCAGGGCCAGCCTTTTGATTCCAGGTGTTTGGAAAGGAGGGGGCGGGGAGACCAAAACGCTCCTTCTCTCCCCCCCCCATCATCCTGTGTCAGGGACCCTGTGGCCTCTCGCAGAGGAGAAGGGCCCACAGCAGCCCCAACAGACTGGCGGAGGGAGGCTCGTCGCCTACCCTGCAGGCCCGGCCTTTTGTCTGAGGCCAAGGCGAGGCGCGCTGTCCTTCCACATTAAAGGAGGCTCTCAATTTCCCTCAAAGGGCATTCAGACGACGTGTTCATGCCCCTGCTGAGAGATTGCACGCTCCCTGTGGGGGGAGGTCCCCAAGCGAAGCAGGGCTTGGACATGGATTTGAACCCGGGTCTCCCAGGGGGGCACAACGCTGAGGAAGGCGCAAGCCACACAGCCTCCTGCGGAGGGTCTTCCTCACCCGCTCTGCCAGCCCTGGGACCGCTTGTGAGCCCGACGATCCTGAACGTGCTTGCGGGCAAAGTCCTGAAGTGGAGGCCCGGGCGACGCATCGCTCACTGCGGCTTCCTCGGCAACGGGGGCAGCGTGGGCATCGCGGTGTTCTGTGTTGGCCTCAGGCTTGCTCTTTGTTGAGAAGGTGGTGGACGAGCGCAGGAGGGAGGCTGGTCGTCCCGTTTGCAGAAGAGGCTAAACTGGAAAGAGGAGAAGAAGAAGAAAGGTTTCGAATCGCCCAGAGGCCGCGCGCACGCACGCACACACACACCCGGAGAAGGCTGCCTCTCGACAAGACACACACACACACACACACACGGAGAAGGCTGCCTCGACAGCAGCGGGAGGAAAGAAGGTAGAGGCTGGAAAGGAGCCACCACCGCCGACACTCCCTGGGCCTCTTGGCTTCCCTTCCCCGTGAGGTGTGTTGCTGTGGACCCAGGTTCAAGTCCACATCCACCTAAGGACTCCCTCACCCCCCCCTCTCTCACATCCACACCCATCATCCTGGTCTACCTCCCAGGGCAGTGGGGAAGGTAGGAGGAGCTGAACCCTGGGAGGCAAAGCGGCCTGGCAAACCCAAATGAAGGCCAACTGCTTTCCCGCCTCAGAACATGCGAAGAGTGCAGCAGGTGGGAGCGACTCTGTCCATGTGCAGAGTGCCGCCTTGCCTGCCACCCCATCGTCTGGAGCAGGCGAAGGCGATGACCGGCCTTGAGCGAGGGGGGAGGGGAAGCGGGCGAGAGTGGGGTGGGGGAAGAGTCAGCGGGAGCTCAGCACATGCTCAGAGGTACGCTTTACTCCCCTGCCCGGCCACAGGAGCGCCCTCCACTCGCGCGCATGCGCAGCACATCCATCTTTCCCCTCAAGCAAAGATCTTGACATGGGCGGGAGAGACAAGGAGCACCGATTTGAAGCTCCGCCCCTTTCGGGTGACGAAACGCGTCGCCGGCACAGCGCCGTCCCCTGCGGTCCAGGAGGCCCCGCCCCTTCGGCCCCCCTCCCCGCTCTATCCGTGACGTCACGCCGCCGTCGTTGGCGCGGTGACGCAGAGGCCGTTGCCGGGGAA